ATCGAAAAAATATCTCAAAGTATGATTCGTTTCTAATTTTATAACTGTAAAAAATAATATAAAATAATTATTTAAAGAGAAAATATGCTAAATCGATAATATTTAAAAAAAATATCTCGATAATTATTAAATCTAAAAATGATATTTCGATGAAATCGCCTCATGCAAACTGAACGTGCACTAATTTGAAACTGAAGGTCTATGTTTCCTACGCTCCTTCAATTTGCGTGTGTCTCACTTCCCCACTTTTTTTTTTTATTTTCACGTGCCTGGTCTGTAGTAATTAATAATTTGACTGATTTCTCTCTTATTTTATCATTTATATTTCGATTTTCCGCCTTGCTCGCATTGGAATTTTTTTCCCTCATGTAAGACTCTCACCAAATTATTTTTTAAATTAAGGTAATTTTTATAATCTTAAGGAAAAGATACATAGATTACTGTGTGATTTCATTTTTTATCCATAAAATACATCTTTAACTTTGTAAAAAAAAATAGTAGATGAGGTAAAAACGTGTAATAATTTTGGGGTCTTTTTAAGTTACTGTTCCAATCATCTAAGTTGAGAAATAATTTTTTTAGTGTACTATTTGAGAAATTCTGTTTTTTTCAAACATAGTATTACAACATTTCCCCCTATTTTTCCTTGTTTGTGTTGGCGGTTATATTCCTAAAATATATGTATAAAGGAAGAAGAAGCAATCTATTCGATTTTGAAAGCATGGGAGATACTTGGGCATAAATAAATATATAAAAATATGCATTTGTTCAAGGTATTTTGGGATGATATTTTAGTAATTTTTATGTGATTTATAGTTTCAAATAGATTATTAACGAACAATATGTTATTGATTTAAGTTGTGTTTTTTATTAACACTTATTTAATTGCCCTCATGTGTTTTATCTATTATATTTTGTGAGGAAAAATGAGAGCATGTTAAAGATTCAAGGGGTCTAGATATTTTATTTTTACAGGTTATACGTGATATTAGAGTTTTTATAATTTCATTAGAAATATAAAATATATCCAATTATAATCAAGATTTATAAATATAATTGTAAATTAAATACATAATCAAAAGAATTTATTATAATTATTAAAACAAAAACTAACCACTTAAGATCACAAAGAAACAATTGTCTCTTTATTTTTTAACCCAATTTTCTTTTATTACTCTTGTGTCTTCTTCCTTTTCTTTTTCTTTGATTTTTGTTTAGTTGGTGGTGACGCTAATCTTAATATTTGTTGTCGACCACCGAAACTATTAATTCTTTTATTTTTTTATATTATTTCTTTTTATTTTCTTTATTTCTTGATCTTTTAATTTTGAATAATAATCTCTGTCCTTGTGACACATTTTTTCTATGCTATTGTAGCACATGTTTTCGCTGCACTTGTGGCACGGTCCTTATGATTTTTGGTATTTTTTTGCATACTTTTACGTTCGTTTTGGTAATCGCACAAAAACTATCACGACACTTATTTTTCGATTGGTTTGTCGATTGTCACGTATAGTTGATCCCCTCTTTGATAAAAGGTTGTTGCCAGTGTAATATGAATCGTGTAGCAAAACAGCCTGCTAGATTATTTGGTTCCCTCAACACTCTTTTTATCACTTCGTAAAGTGTATTATTCGATAAAACAATAAGTTTTTATGAAGGTTATTGATTTTTGATATTGGTTGTCATTCTGAATGGAATGTTTTATTTTATTTTTCGTATTTTTAGATTTAATATTTTATTTTTGTGTCAGTATTTGGTGACTATTGTCTCCATTTTTCTCTCTATATTTTATTATTATAATTTTGATTCATTCCATTATTAATGAAATTTAATTGTCATTGTTAAAAAAAAAGATCACATAAGGAGCATATAATGAAATATTAAAATCTAAACAAAAAAACTCAAACATAGATATTTACAATAAATTTGATCGCATCGACAAACAAATTATAAAAATTGATAAAGTTAGTGAAAGACCACCGGAAAAACTGTAAATTAAACTCGAACGACGTGAAAAGTTATCACAAACGCAAATCATGTATCTAAATCCAATCAAAGAGTCCAAAGCAAGGAATATTAAAAAACATATAAGCATCATCTTGATCAGTCATGACGATGTCAAACAAACTCTTAGGAAAAAGATAAATAAAAAGCGACAAAATGTAGAAAAACATATATCATATATACAAACTTATTTAAAAAATTAAAGATGCGATATAAAAAAGGATAATAAAAATATCGACGATCGATAATTATTATTAAAATTGACGCCTCTATCAATCAACGAAGACGAAAAAGAAAATGAATGAATGAGTGACACCGATGAGAGAAAACTATGATATTAGAGTTAAGCTTTTTGAATTATAATAAGTTATATTTTAATTCTTGAATGAAAACTAGTTTGTAAAAATTGGTTGATAGTGAAAACTTGATTCTCATAATTTTTTAGAAAACTATTTACTGTGAAATTAGTTTATAAAAGTATTGTAGTTTATTTTAGATACTTATTTATCCAAGAAATACAACATTATCCATTCATCCAAATATAGAATGATCAAATAGGATTAATTAGTACAATAATATTATGATAATGTTAGTGTTCAGGTCATGTGATGTTTTATATATTGATTCATGTAAGAAAGATATCCATGTTTCAATGTTATATTGGGATAAATAAACCTTTAGTCCTTAAACTTCATGGTAATATTCTCATATTGATCTTTCAATTTTTTTTTTGAATTGTCCGTCTAGCTCAGTTGGTAGAGCGCAAGACTCTTAACTTTGTGGTCGTGAGATCGAGTATCATTGAGGGCAATTCATAATAGAGGTCTTTCACGGAAACAGCTCTCAACTTGACGTTAGGGGCAGCCTACTACTCTACCTCCCCTTATCCCCAATTCATAACGGAAGTCTTTCACATAAACTCCTCTTAACTTGACGTTAGGAACAACTTACTACTCTACATCTCTTTATCCCTTTACATATAAGAATAGGACTAGCTAAAAAGATCATTCATTTTTTTTGTGAAACTCGAACAACTTTATTTTTCTAAATCATTTAAATAAAGATTGTGGTACATGATATAATCTCAGATCTTTATTTTATGATTAAATTAAACAAATTATCAATTTAATTTCCTTTTCATGTGCAGATCTGCCCCCACTCCCCCACTCAGCCTTGTTTTGTCTATTTCTGTGAGAGACAAATCCCACTCTTGTTCAAAACAATCAATTTTTAAGACAATAAAATAACATTTCTTTTTCTTTAGAAAAACAAAGAAATTTGGACTAAATTTACTCTCCTTAGGTTGCCCTCTACCCGCTCAGTGTTGCCATCAAAACTTGTGGTTATAATTTCCAAAATTTCCTTTTCTTTTCCCTTAAAAGTAAGAAAGGAAGCGATAGAGAATCTGCAGAATTATCAAAACATTTTTAAAAGAACCCACCTTTTCATCATCATCTGTCTTCTTCTCCGCCATGCTTTTGTTTTTTTTTTCTCTGATGGGTTTGGAGAGAAACTGAAAGCTTGAATTGAATGCATTTCTGTGTATTGATTTCGTAATAATTATACAGAAAATATAATATTATTAACCCCCACATGCCATCATTGCCTTTTTGAAAGCATAGTCTACTCCTTTCTCTTATCCTCTTTCTCTTCCCTAGAGTGGGTTTTGTTTAGTTTCAGCATTTTGAGCTCAGTTTTGTTTTTCTCCTTCTTCAGAAAGAAAATCTGGCTATTTGAGTTTCTCTTCCATGGAGTCATACGAAGCAACAAGGATAGTGTTTTCTCGGATCCAAAACTTGGACCCGGAAAATACATCGAAAATCATGGGTTATCTTCTCATTCAAGACCAAGGCGAGAAAGAGATGATACGTTTGGCTTACGCACCCGAAGCACTCATCCACTCTTTAATCTTCAAGGCCAAAACCCACTTGGGACTCTCCATTTCGAATCCGCCAACACCTTCGACGCCTTCGTCTCCTTCGCCTTTCTCTTCGAGGCCGAGCCCTTTGTCCATCCCAGGCAATGCCTTCGAAAGCCAGTCTCTTTCGTATGTCAGTATCGTTAATGGGAGCACCAGTAACGTCAACAGCAATGAACCGGTCAATGAGTACCACCAGTTCGAGGACCATCTCTTGTTCCTCAACGATTCCAAGCCCGAAAATTTGTTCTACCCGAGGCTGGACTTGGCTTCAATGGCTAGTCCAATCGGTGGTTACACTGATTCTCCTTTGCACAAGCGGAGTTTCTCTTTTCCGGGGATGGGTTTAGGAGCTGAAGATCTGAATTCTGGGCTTGGGTTCGAGCCTTGTTTGTACTTTGCGAGAGGGTTTTGTAAGAACGGTGCTAGCTGTAGGTTTATCCATGGAGATCAATCTGCCGAGTCCGTTATTAACATGAACGAGTTGGAACAGTTCCAAGAGCTGCTTTGATCGAAATCTCTTCAACAACAGCAACAAAAGCCAGCTGCTTCTGCTTCACAGTTCGTGCCCGATGCTTCTTCTTTCCCATACAACAACAGCGTTAATTTCCTTCTCCAGCAACAACAAAATGAAACTCACAGGTAAAATTAAATGCACGGAGCCTGTCTTTGTTTGATTATAACTTTTTATTTAGTTTCTTGAACTCATTATCACGGCATTGCCATTGGTTTTTTTTCGGCAGATCGCCAATGGCAGCATTGATGATGGGAGATGAGCTTCATAAATATGAACTGAGTCGACCCGAAATGGGAGCCAATGCAGGCTTTAGACAGATTTATTTGACATTTCCAGCTGACAGTCTTTCAAAGAAGAAGATGTTTCGAAATACTTCAGGTAATGTTGTAAGCTTCTTTTACTCATGTCGGCCATTGTTTTTGTTTCTCGTTTGAGCTTCCATTGCTGAATTTTAAGTTTTTTTTGTGTTTTTTCATAGCATTTATGGACCTGTGCAAGATGTTAGGATCCCTTACCAGAAAAAGAGGATGTTTGGGTTTGTTACATTTGTGTATCCCAAGACGGTGAAGCTCATTTTAGCTAAAGGGAACCAGCATTTCATCTGCGATTCTCGTGTTCTCGTTAAGCCTTATAAGGAGAAGGGCAAAGTCCAAGAGAAGTAAAAGCTCTAGATTTTTTTGTTCCACTGTTGGATCTTGCTTTGTTTTGCATACTGTCTGTATTGATTTAACTTAATCTTATTGATTAGGAAGCAACAACAATTGGAGAGAGGAGAGTATTCTGCATGCTTAAGTCCGACCCTGGTGGATTCTCGGGAGCTATTTGATCCCTATATTGGTGAGTAGAAAAAGAATGACTAGTCTTACATTTATCAGGAATTGCAGTACTTGTTTGTCAGCTTTCTTCGTTTGGATTTGAACATTTTTAGGATCAAGAATGTTTTACAATACTCAAGAGATATTGCAAAAGAAATCAGAGGAGCATGCCGATTTACAGCAAGCCATGGAGCAACGAAGGAGGCTGATGAACTTGCAGCTGTTGGACTTCAAAAACCATCACCTGTATCAATTCCATCATGGTTTGTCCACCGGCTCTCCTATTCCTTCGCTGACTGTTTCCCGCACTCCCACCAATCAAGCGATTGTTTTTCCATCCGATGTCTTCGATCAAGAAACTTCCGAAGGTTACGTTTATGTAGTAACACCATCGAGAACAATTAAAAATAACTTTAGTGATCCATTATTCAATTTGGTTTGTTTTTTGCTTTTCCTATAGATAACAGTGTTAGCCTGATTGGTGCTGTTCCCAAATTGACACCTGCTGCCAATGCGGAGAAGCTGCTCGAGGAAGTTAATCCGTTGTGTAATCATAAAAACGACAACGAACATGCTATTAATAAGGAGAAAGTCAGCGCGGAAGAAAACGACTTCCCTGAAAGGTATAAAAAGAATGTCATTTAAATGTTGATACCCTCAACACGAAACAGAATGCTCATGTTCTGGAATCTCGGTTACAATATAATTCTTCTGCTTTGTGCCGTCTTTCGACGATCGTTGGCATTATTGATAAAAACCTTTATGTCATATGAACAGCTTGGAGCATATTCTCCCCGATAACCTGTTTGCATCACCTAAGAAATCGACAGGGGATCACCTCACCGTCTTCACTACATCTTCTACCGAGGCCGACAACATACCTACGAGTCTGGCCACATCTTCTAATGGTAACCCTCAACCGGCCAACCCTTCTGGCCTCAATATGGAGTCACTTAAATCATGCTTTCTACAACTCCCTAGGTAAAAACATAACCCCATTCCCTTTATTACAATTCCAAAGACTAAAAAGGGAAGCTAATTACTGATATATTCATTTGGTCGACTATACAGGTTTTCTTCCGAGCAAGGCGCCATCGGAATGTAACTAAGGAGCTGTATAAGCTCTCAACATGCCCAGCAATGGAGGAAAACTTAACTTTGCCATGGTGAGTTAAGGTTGTTGGAAATCCTTGTCCAAATTTAATGGTTTTTTGTTTTCATAATGTTGGATCTGTTGTTCTTTTTCTAACATTTTGCAGAAAGATAATACAAAGAAGATTATTAGAAGGAAAAAAAGAACAAATAGAACAATCCTCTAGCTGTATAGCCAAAGGCGTACCTAAAAACAAAGAAGAAGAAAAAGATATATAAAGAAGATTGCTCCACCACCGTCGTCGTTGTCGTCATCACCGCCGGTACAACCACCACCAGCACTACCGTCATGAATACATACTAAGACTGAAATAAAGATACATAAATGTATAGGTAAGGGACAGAGGAACTGGTTTAAGGAGTGGGGGTCTTTTGTCTTTGCTTGGGCCTTTAAACTACCCTTTTTACCATCCTTTTTACAAAGGGAGGTGAAAAAAGTATCCATAAAAGTGTAGCATAACTTAACTCCTGTATTGATATGAAGACCTAAAGGAGAAGGGATGAAACTCTTACCCTCCCGTTTTAGAAATTATTATTATTATTATGTTTTTAGTGCTAATGTTTATTATGACAGTATCTTGTTATTACGGGTAATTCTGCTCGTACAGTATAATTTAATGTTAAGAAATGACAGAAAATGGATTCGATTTAAAATATTATAAAAATTATAAGATTTTAGATTGAACGAAATATAAAATGTTAATTTTTTAATTTTTGGTTGAATTAATATTTTCGATTTAATTGAAAATGTTATAAAAGTAAGTTTTTATTGTTAATAAAAAATATTATGAAGAAAGTTTTCAACTGAAAAATATTAAGAAAAAAAAGTATTTTAGGTTACGTTCAACTTAAAATATTGAGTTCATAATATTTTCGATCGTATATTTTTTTTAACTTTAAATTAGGTTACCTTTCAGGATTCTCTCAGTAATAACAGAACCGGAAAATGTGGGTAAAAAATAAAAGGTTGTTGAATCATGTGATTAAAGGTGATTTTAGGGCAAGGGGCCACATTGTCACATGGGGGAGGGATCCGACAATTTTATATCAACGGTATCTCGATGTCATTCATTTTTGGCTTTATTTTATGGTTAATTTTTTTTAGTTACAATTGAATTCGATAATGTTTCTCATGGGGATTATGGGGGTTGGTACCTTGTTTTTAGCATGTTAATGTTGGTCTACGTGTTACGGTATGTGTTAAATGCTTATGCTTCTAGACACCCGACCTCTATTTCAAATTGCTCCTCCTAACACATTAACACATATAGTTGTTCCCCTAGTGTAAAATTTTGTTAAATTATCGACTATCAAAAATTATAAAATGGTTACCTATATATTTATTATGTTCTAAACTCATCATTTTCTATTAAAAAGTTGGTAGTTGTCTAAGTCGGACAATAACATGATTGTGATATGATAGTCTTTTAAGATTCTAGAATTAGAGTTTATAATATAACAATCAACATGTTAACATTCAGCTTAAAATATCGTCAATTTTTAACGAAAAAAGACGAGTTTGGAACATAATAAATAGTTGGGTGACCATTGTGTAGCTTTTAATAGTCGAGTGACTCAACAAAGTAACACTCTATAATTGGAGGATCATTTTATAATTTTTAATAGTCGATGAACTTAATAAAATAATATCCTATAATCAGGGAATTATTTGTATACTTTATCCTTAAAACTAAGGGTATTAAGCACAATTTTTAAATAAATGGGTTTTTTTAATAAAGTAAAAGGACTTTTTATGTTAAATTACATATTTATATTTGATACATCAGTGCCCATATCATTTGCCCAATCTTCATGCAAGATAGCTGGCTAACTTTATATAAATAGGCAATATTGTGCCCAATCTGAAAAGTAGTTTTCGGATTATTTTTGTCTGTCTTTTTATTGCCAAACTCACTAGTCAATTGTTGTCACCTTGTCTTAATCACAACTATTATATTTTATCAATGGGTTGGATTTCAGGTGATTGGCATTTAATTTTCAATGGCATGATTTGTACTTTTTAAACCATTATATATTTAATTGCTTTATTGTTTTGGGTGAACTACATATTTAGTAATTAGATTATCAATTTTAGTTCATTTTAGTATTTAAACTTTTAAAATTTTTCAAAATCATACCTAATGTTTAGTTTTTGTTTCATTTTAGTATCTCACCATTAAAAACTTAACGCGTTTATAACTCAACTTAAACTATCAATTTTTTTACCTAAACTTTCAATTTTTTTTATAAAAAATTAACGTTAAATTTTGAACATGGGTACTAAAATGAAACAAAAACTAAACTTTAGGTATGATTTTGAAAAATTGAGAGTTTAGGTACTAAACAAATCAAAACTGATAGTTTTGATATAAAATGCATAATTTTCCCTAATTCATATTTTAAAAGGTTTTAAGATTTTAGTTTTGTTTTTTTTATGTGTGAATTTTATCTGAATTTATTTTGATTTCAGTGTATTTTTTTAAATTATGAGTTCGATCTCCCGTTTTTAATAATTAATCATGATTATAATTTTTTTTGGTAATAAAGATAAACTTATCCCAACTGCTTATGTTTCCTTCCTCAAGCACGATCTCCTTCATTTCCTATGGATGTTCTATCATTCTGAAACAGCGTGCGTCTCCACTTCGAGTTAATTTGACCATTCCATCTGCCACTCTGTTGCCTTCCCGTTATATATGGGCAACCTTAACTTCCCAGTTCATGTTTAGCATCCGGTCGATGTGGTGCCAAAGAGTTGACTCGAGTTTCCTGTGTGTTCTGTTATGAAGTCTTTTCCAAGTTTTTTTTGTTGTCAACTTCTATTATTAGTCTGCTTTCTCCCAGCTCCCAGGCGCTCATTAGGCCCTCGAGGACACCCCACAGTTCTGCTTCTAGCACCGAACAGTTTTCAATCGATCTATGAAATCTGAGCTTCTAGTGTCCTTTCTCGTTTCTTATAGCTCCTCCGCAAGCGGCCGTCACTTTTCCTTTATCAACTGTATTGTCTGTAAAGATTAGCAACAAATGTCTAAGCTATGTAAATTAGAACAAAGAAAACAAATGAAAGAAATAATTCTTCTGAAACTCATTATCTTCAAGTGTGTATGTTTACAAGTCTCAAGAGTGTATTTATAGTTAGAACTATAGCTGTAGCTAAACTTCAACAAACTAACTGCTTCAACTGATTAGCAGCAGTGAATCAATACTCAGTTGCATGACCATTATGCACAACAGTTACACGTGAACTTATATGCCATGCATACACTAACATTCCCCTTGCAACCTTCAACTTCAAATCTTCTTCAAAACTCAAACTGATATGCTTTTAAGTTGCATCACCAGCAACCGTTGTCTGTGTTTGAAAAACAAAGGTGCTGATAAAGGCTTGGTCAGCACATCAACAACCTGCTCGACTACAGAAACTTCATGCACTTGTAGCTGTCCCATAGCCACCATTTCTCGAACAAAAAACAGATCCAACTTTACATGTTTAAACTTGGAGTGAAGTATAGGATTAGCACATACTGCGATTGCACTTGTATTATCACACCACAACGTGGCCTTGCCATGAGTAACTATGTGCAGCTCTCCCGACAATGATCGAAGCCACACCATTTCAACAGCTGCACAAGCCACACTTCTGTACTCAGCCTCAGCACTTGAACGTGCAACAACCTGTTTCTTCTTAGAGCTCTACGAGACCAAATTTCCATAAAAATATATGAAGAATCCTGAAGTTGACCGTCTATCATCAATATCTGAACCCCAATTCGCATCTATAAAGCCAGTCAAAGCCATTCTCGAGGAGGGTGTAAACCGTAGTCCAAAATCAATGGTGCCTTGTAGGTAACGAAGTATTAATTTGACTGCCTGAAAATGAACATCCAATGGGGCTTGCATGAATTGACACACTCTATTCATAGCAAACGCCACATGAGGCCGAATGATTACAATGTATTGCAGAGCACCAACTATGCTTCTGTACTGTGCATCATCTTCAAGTGGTTTTCCCTCCTTAGCAGATAGCTTGATATTTGAGACCATGGGAGTGAGAAGGCTCTTTACTCCACCAAAACCATGCTTCTGTAAAAGGTCGTGAATGTACTTTTGCTTACTCAAAACAACATCGCAACCTTCATAACTGACTTCAACTCCTAGGAAAAAACTCAATGGTCCAAGATCCTTTAACGAAAATTGAGCATTCAGTTTGTCTATAATGCTTTGAACAACCACCTCGTTATCCCTTGTTATGATGATATCATCAACGTACACCAGTAAGTACACCAAACTATCCGAAGTCTTTCGAACATAAAGAGAGGCATCCGACTTGGCTAGACAAAAACCTTCAGATTCCAGGTATGCCTTCAGTCGTTCAAACTAGGCCCTCGGTGCTTGTTTCAGCCCATAAATCGCCTTGTGTAACTTGCACACCAGCTCACCATTGCCTTGCTCATACCATGGTGGTTGAGTCATATAAACCTCTTTAGTAAGCAACCCATTCAAAAAGGCATTATTGACATCGACTTGTCTCAACTTCCACCCTCGTGATAACGCCAAGGAAATGATTACCCTGACTGTTGCAGGCTTGACTACCGGACTGAAGACTTCATCAAAATCAATCCCTGGTTTTTGAAGAAAACATTTGGCCACCAAGCGTGCTTTGTACCTTGAAATTGAACCATCAACATTTCTCTTTATACGAAATATTCATTTACAGTTTAATGCATTCTTATCTCTAGGAAGAGGAACTAGAGTCCACGTGTCATTCCTTACCAGGGCATCAAACTCAGTTTGTGCAGCTTCTGTCCAATGCGGACTCATGAAGGTCTCTCGATCTAAAGTTACAACATTATAAACTTTCGGCTTCCAGATTCCATGCTTACTTCTGGTCATCATGGGATGTACATTGGAGACAACTTGTGGTACACCACTCTCCACATTACGTTGAACTTCAGTACACGGCTCTATTGCACCATTTTCTTCTTGAGTCGCACGTGAGCTTCCATCACAATTGCTACCATCTTGATTTTCTTCTTGGACCCCATGTGCATTGACACTACAACTACTCCCACAATTTCCATCATCACGACTTTCTTCTTGGATTCCATGCGAATAGCTATTAAAAATATCTTCATTATTTATGTTTGCCGCAACTCTATCAATACTTTGACTATGTGCATTTGTTGGAGTAGTAACGTGGGTGGGCACCATGCCAGAAGGCACACACGCATTGGACCGATGCGCATTGGATTCATTACCACGTGCATCCACCATTTCAAAA